TCGTGTCGTTTCACTTTCGTCTCTTCAGCACTTTGTTCCTCTTCAGAACTTCTTTCTCGGCCATGGCAGTGACCGTTTTTCTTAATATTCCGTTTATTTTTCGTAATTTTCTATATCGTTTAGACAAAGCCGAGAACTGAACCTCTCGTGGTTAAGGACAACTTTTTGGACGGTGTGGATTTGGCGCCTGGAATGTGCAAACTTCTTCAGGACGGCGAAATAGAGGTATCGCTTCTGTAGCATTTTTAAGCATACCAAGTAGAATTTTTCTAGCACAAATAGGCATCGTTCATGTCGGAAAGAAATCGCTTTTTGCTCCGTAATCTTCAGACGATGTGAGCATTGAAACCCGGTCAACAGTGAGTGTGCGAATTACTTTCGCTGAGCCCAATTGTGCTTTGTCTGCAACTTGTGAAACTTAAGGTGCAGAAGAAAAATGATTTGTTTTAACAATCTCATCGCTAGTTCTTTCATAAGTACAGATGTTGCAGCTGCAGTTCAGCAAGCCCGAAGGGAAGGATTTCATCCATCTTATTCTGTTCGAATGCACTGGACCCCCAGGTGGTGCAAAGCACGTTTCTCGAAATGGCGCTAAGATATGCGTGTCTGCTGTGATGGATGAGAATACGCCTGCTGGGAAAATTCGTGAAGTTTTTCTGGATTTAGGCAAACAGCTGGAGCGATTATCCGACGAAACACTGAAGACAAGTAAATTTTCTTTCTATTTTCATTTTTAACCAGTCAGTTGACGTTGCGTATTAGTGAGTAGCACCCGCAAAAAAAGTAAATGAGCAATTAGATGCAACTGTGAAAAATTGTCGCACACTGCTTGGAGCAGCCGTTGGGCATTAATTGGAGGTATGTAACTCAGGTTCGGGGGGCTTGGCACGGCAATTTTGAATTCTTGGTGTTTAATCAGTTATTGATTTAACCATCCCCAGCAGTGTAGCTAGCACGCCTTGTAATGCTTGCTTTATGCGGAACTGCTGCATCGTACAATGGTCAGCTTATCTGCTTGTGTTCCTTACTGTTTTCTATTTTGTATGTAAATATTAGTTGTATTATATTCTGTTGCTGCTTTTATGGTCCTAAAGACGAGAAAAAAATGCAACATTGGGCTGTAACACAAACATTCGTACACTGATGCGAAGGTGTGTGCTGTGATCCGATTCTGTCCGACTCCAGCGGCGGCGTATTTGCCAGGTGTACCTACCTAGAACAGCCCCTAAATCCTTTGGCTGATTCGCCATCTGTTTAGCTAACAGCCTTGCCATCGACCAAAATCTTGTACTTTTCGCGTCCACACCGCTCCAAATGTTCGAGTTGACAGATCGGCTCAGTGGGCTGATGGCCTTCCCATTGCTGTTTCAGTACATCGTGGCTCATGACCATCCGGCCTTCTCTATACACTGCAGTTTTTTTAAGAATTTTATGAAACTACATAGCATGCATTTCCTTTTATACCAAATTTAGTTACAGCGCAAACTGCAGCGTATATCTACTTATTTTCCAGTCAGAGTGTAATGCGTCTTTATTTTAAGATATGACGCCGTATGAGTTGAACAGATACTCGTTGCCTTACTTGCAAAAGCACTATATCTATCGGAAGAAGGATTCGGTGTCACGATTCGTGCGAGCCGTTTATTATTGTGAAATATGTCACTATCATATATGGACAGTGGCGCAAGCAGTGTCGCATTTTACTGCGCGTGAACACATCGACAATGAAGAAGTTAGTTTTTTTTTTTTTAAGAATTTTATGAAACTACATATTTACCGTCTTCTTTTCGTGCTGCTTCAGCCCCCGTGTCGTTTGCGATTCTTCATGCGCTCCCTCATTACTTTAGTGGAGATGGGCCAAAATTTAGCGAAGATTACAGGTGCCGTAAGTAATTAATCGAAAACATTTAACAGAAAGAGGCGATGTCAAAGAAATTGGAAAGTTTACCAGAACCAGTGAAGGATCAGATGGCAAGTGTGGAAATAATTTTGCACCAACAGTGCAAATCCGCAGTACTTACGGACGAGCAATATGAAATGGCAAAGAGTATCGCCAGCTCGCTATCATTGTTATTGCAGACCAATGTGCACAAAAGTAATTTTTTCGCTATTTTTGGGTTCATTCGAGCCTTTCATCTCAGCAGCTTCTCTTCGCTTCCCTCGGGGAACTGTTGAGCTGGTTGTTCTGCCATTGGTCAAGCCATCTGGAAAGTTGCCAGCCACACGATGGGGGCCGAACGATGAATTGACAGCTGACCCGTTCATACCGGTAATAGATTGACACTGCGAAGCATCCCTGCTTGTCGCTGATAAGGACTAAACATTGACAGTTCAGCGATTACAAAAATTTCAGCCTCGAGATTGCTACCTTTTATCGTTGCGTTCTAAAAATTCACATGTGGACATTTTAACACTTAGCTCTCACCACCTCAAGTGCCTTCCGCTAAGCATTACTTTTGAACTTTTTGAGATTTTACTTGTTTTTGATCCAGATGCTTTTTAATTATTTTAGACGTTTCATTGTCGCTGTTTGGCTCGTATTACATGAAACTTGCAACAGCGAGTAGTGATGTAAATCTGGCTTTGACTTGTCCACCAGAACTTTCGTTTGGCCAGTCGCTGTTTCGAGTTAAAGAAACACTGGAGGATTCAACAATAGGTATTGTTTCACTATGCGCTGTTTAGGGCGCTCAGTATTCCGTGGGCGTTGCTGCATAAATTTTTATGGGTAGTTAAGAAAAAGAGTCGGAAGTACTGATTAAAGGCTGCTTATATTGGCTTAAAACATCAAGGGTTTTTTAAGATAGGATGAAAATACTATCAGCTTTGATGATGAAACAAATGTGCTGATTGTGAAGTGACTTGTCAAGGTTGGCCCTGAATTTTGTCCGACTGATGAGTAATCGTTGTTTTTACTTTGTAAAAGATTTACTGGACTAGTGAGCCTTAAAAAAGAACGGGTTGTCATCTCGAAGTTTCCTTTCAGTTGACATCAGCACCTTAACTTTAAAGCATCCCAATAGAAAAGGGAGGAAGATGGGGAGATTGGCAGAGCTCATCGATACTGTTCATAATTCCGCTTCCGTCGTTCAGCAGGTGCAGGGGGGATAGACAGAATATGGTTCTGCTCCTTGGCGTGTTAGGCATGCTAGTACTTGTTTGTTTTCAAACAGATCACAGACGTATGGTAGGAATAGTTGCCGTAGTGGGTGGATGTAAATCAAGGAGCATTTACAGTAAGGGGTTAGAAAATCATTGGCGACGCGTACCGGGAGGCAAGTGGCAGGCGTATTCTCATCCATCACGCGGCAGCCACGCACGGCGGGGGA